CTTTCGTGGGTTTTTATAACATTTTCCTTTACTAATGCTTATCTATTTTTAGGTTCGATTTATTGGACTATTCTATCTCTAGTTTTAGCTAATTCTATCCTCACGATGTTCATGCAGAACGATTTATGCATAACGATCGTATGCGTAATGATCATATGCGTAATGACGTTATGCATGATGACTTTTACTAATGTGATGATGATATATAAAATAAATAAATAAATAAATACAGAGTTTTAACATAAATAAGTATTACTGTCTAAATAATAATAAATAAAAAATAAAGTACAGAAAAGTGTGATTAAACGAAGGGTTTGCTGGAGCAACGTGACCGTCATCGATGTCACGTGATCATCTTAGCACATCGATGTTACATGATCGTCATAGTATGTAACATTAGGCCTAGTAATAAAGTAGTTATGTTACAATTTCCCCTCTTTTAAAACACGAGATCCTCTGAGTAACACCAGATTTTCTGCGTGATACAATCCGTAAAAAAAAATTTTTATTTTATTTTTTTTTTTAAATATTTACAAATATATAGTTGGTTTCCATGCAGGTCGCTTATAATATCTTTTCAACCGATTTGTGTTCATCACGTTTTTTAAAACTTTCACTTCTTCAGTTCATAGTTTATAGGTTCCTGGTGCTCTGTAATCATGAATATAGTAAGGACCTTGCCATTTTTCTTTCAGTTTATCACTATATACCTTCTTCTTTGCGGATTCGTACAACAAGACTTGATCACTAATTTTAAATTCAATAGGTTTTATACCAGCGTCATAATGTTCTTTTTGTCGTTATTAAGCTTCTTTAATATTTCGTTGAGCCTAAACTCTTTGCTGGTGTAATTAGTCCGTGATCTTATGGATATGCAGGTTTAACGATTGTTCTAATGCTATTTCTGGAGGCTCTTCTTTCTCTTTTTCTTGTAATTGTAGGTCCATTGGTATTGTTGCCTGTCACCTATACATTAAAGAAAAAGGATCATACTTAGTGGTATAATTTGGAAGCATTTGATATGCAAATAGGGCTGCCAGTAATAAGGTATCCTATGTCATCTTATAATCGGTCACAAGTTTCACTAATATAGAGCATAAGGTCTTATTAAATCTTTCGGTTAGTCCATTTGTTTGTGGATGATAAGCGGCGGCCAAGCAATGTTAAACAGTCATGATTTTATATAGAGCTTCTATAATTTTGTTGCAAAAAGAATGTCCTTGCGTCCTTGGTCAGATAGAAGAACTTTTGGACAACCATGACAGCAAATTATATCTTCGAAGATGAATTGAGCTATTGTGGGGGCCATCATATCTAATATCGCATGAGCCTCAGGCTATTTTGTTAAATATTCTGTGGCCACTATGATATAATGATTTCCAGCTTCTGTTATATTTTTGAAAGGTCTAACAATATCTATACCAATTCTATCGAAGGTGGCGTCTACTTGGATCGGATGCAACTCTTCATGAGGTTGAGGAGCTCCTTGCTATTGACATATGTTGCAGGTTTGTATGTATTCATTAATCGTTCTGTATATTTGCGGCCAAAAATATTTACTTCTTGCTTTATTATAGGTTGATTCGACTCCAAAGTGTCTAGTGATAGTGTCAGAGTGGAGCCCATAGAGTACTTTTTCTAATTCGTCTTTTTTAATTATGCATAGTAGTGGTCCATCGGTCTTTTTATTTCTACGGTATAAGAGATCTTCACTAAGACAATAATGAGAAACTTGCTTGAAAAATTTCTTTTGCTGTGCTTGATTCCAATCGCAGAGATCTTTGCACTTTCTAGGTAGGTCTTGAATTGGTTATATAATTGGATCTTTATGTTAAGCTTTTATTGTCTGTATGTAAAATAAAAAAAATATATATATATATATTTATTTTATTTTTTTTTTCTTTTTAAATTGATTAAATGCCAGAACACCGTAACCTGGACTGGATTAACAGATTTACAAATAAGTACTTGTCTTACTATTATTATTATTTTATTTTTATTTTTATTTTTATTTTTTTATTTATTTATTTTTTTTTTGTACATCGATTTGATATTGATACTAATAATTTTTTTATCTTTTTTCTCATGGAAGCTTGTGAGAAATCCTAGATAGGGCGTCAACATTAAAATAAGTATTACCTTTTCGATATTGAATAGTACAAGAATATTCAGAGGAGATCATAATCCACCTTGCTAATCTACCGGTAGGTTGTAGATTATTCAACATCCATTTAAAAGCTTGATGGTCTGTAACTAACTCAAATTCTTTTTCATAAATGTAGAGACAGAAATATTGCATAGCCCAAATTGTGGCTAAACATTCAATTTCAGTTGCGGAGTAATTTTTCTCAGGATCGTGCAGCCCTCTACTCGCATAGGCTACTATATATTCTCTATTATCATCATCTTTTTGTACCAAAATGGCACCTAAGCTTATGTACGAAGCATTGGTATATAAAATAAAAGATTTATTGAAATCGGGGTGGCATAAGATAGAGGCCATTATTAGTCTTTGTTTTAACCTATCAAAGGCTTCTATGCATTGGTTGTCCCACTTATAGGTCATTTTTTTTTTAACAGCAAGTTGAGCAGATGTACAATTTTGGAAAAATTTTCTACAAATTTTCTATAATATAAGGCCAATCTAATAAAGCCTCGTAACTCGGTTAGATTAGTTGGGGTAGGAAAGTCTTGAACCTTTTCTATTTTAACAGAGTCGAGGATGATACCTTTGTCACTTATAAGGTGACCAAGAAATGACAGTTGATGTTTAAAGAAATGGCATTTGTCTTTACTGAGATGTAAACTGACATTTCTTAGTAGGTCAAAAACCTGTTGAAGGTATTGCAAGTGTTCGTTGAATGTTTTAGAATGGACATTTATATCATCGAGATAAACTAGTACAAATATTTCATTGACGGGATGGAGAATTTTGTTCATTAATCTTTAGAACATGGCTGGAGCGTTAGTTAGCCTAAATGGCATTACGAGAAATTCGTATAGTCCATCTTTCATTACAAAGGCAGTTTTCTCTTGATTTTCTGGGTACATCTCGATTTGCCAGTAACCGCTCACCAAATCTAAAGTTGAGAACCATTTGGATTGATTTAACGAACTAAGGATATCGTCGATTCTAGACATTGGGTAAGAATCTTTAATAGTTGCCGCATTTAGTTTCCGATAATTGATACAAAATCGAATTTTACTATTCTTCTTTTTTCTAGCACTATGGGGGAACTTCATGGGCTCATTGACTCTTGTATGTCTTGGTCATCATATCGGGTGGATCTTCATATGGCAGCAGTGGAGGTTTCAGCGCGTGGACTAGTAGACATACTTGAAGTTAGTGATACAGAAATACTCTTGAAAGAAGAAAAAAAAAACTTTACATCTGAAACAATAGGAAAGTTTTTAGAAAAATCAAAAAATAAAGAGAAGTCACAAGATTCCAAAAGATACTTATTAGAAGAAAATAAGACTATGAAGTAAAAGGAAAAAAGAAAGCACAAATTTTTAACGAAAAAGTAAAGGAAGACTCGAACAAACTAATTAAAGATCTAGAATTAGAAGAATCTAAAATAGCATTGAAGGAACTAAAAGAAGAAAAGAGCAATAGATGAATACTTTTGAAGGAAATCTATATAAAAAATATTATCAAAAGCAAAAAGAGCAAGGTGAATTTCAAGAACTGAAAGAAACACAAAAAGAAGAGAGACAATAGAAGACTAAAGCACCAGAGCAGACTACTAAAAGAAAATAAGAAAATAAAGTATGGAAAGATAAATTGGAGTAATTATAAAAGATCACAGAAGAAATTAAGTAGAAGCAGAATTTTTAAAATTTATAGAATAGAAAATATATAATGTAATAATTTTACTTTAAGATTAACAATTTGATGCTTGGTATTGTTTGCAAGTACTGGCTATGGCCAAAATACAATTATGTTATAAAATATAAATATAATTAGATAGTACTGACAAGGCAAGTAGTCATCAACTAATTACCAAAGGGAAATAAATCCTTAGTAAGTTAAGAATCTGGAGAGAGGCCAAGGACTACTAAGGCAGGTCGCACCTGGGTGAAAGCCGGGGTGAGTCTTTAGTTTGGTTAGATTAACAATAGCTATATATAGAAATATATAATTCTTAAATAGCTTAATCTTAAATAAACAGAGGCAGGATTGCCGAATTATAAAAAAATAAAAATAAAAAATAATTATTATAATACAAACAAAATTTTGAATTTTTATTTTTAGTAAGATTTAAACTTTTGATATGCTGCTTGAAATAGCAACTTAATTTTATTTAGTAAATACAGTAAAAAACCAAACCTAAATAAATTTTAGAAAAATTCAAAAAATCATTTTAATAAATAAATTTAAAAAAATTTTAAATATTCACAAGTCATTTAGAAACATGTCAAATATTAGCTAAGATTAATTTACTATAAAGCTCACTTCACCAAAAAATTATATTATTTTTATTGGATATATATATATATATATATATATATATATAGGGTTGTTAAAACTTACCTGACAACTTACTTTACATGGTAAGTTACATGTAAGTTACTTAAGTCAGGTAAGTTATAGTAAAAGTTACAGTGTAAGTTATAATAACTTACATGTAACTTACATTAATTTAACAACCCTATATATATATTTAGACTTGAGGTTTTGTCTATTCACACCCTACGATATTAGCTAATGTCTGACACTTCCTCATTACTACAAATTTATATATTTCCAATTACTCGATTGTAAAAAAAGATTACATATTTTTAATTAAACATTTTTTTAAATTGATTTTGTTTTTATAATATATCAATGTTTCTGTTGTTTTTATACGATTTGTACATTATTGGCATTATGCTCTACCGTTTTGAAAATCTCATAATTATGGGTACGATGAAAATTCACAACTAAAAATCCTAGATAAAAATAAGCCTCCACGACAACGATTAATGAAATATAAATTAGCTATTAAAATACTTCCTTATCATAGGCGATAAGGAGATGTGGCCCGTAGTTCAATGTATGTTTCATTTTCGGTCTCGTTATTTTCGAATTTGTCCTTATCATAAAATGTGTTCGATAAGCTCTTCCTTAGCAAAGCAGCGCTTGCGCTAGTAACGGAGGAAATACTAAGATTACTACCATTTTTCAGATAGGGCTGGATATTCTCATGATAATCCATTTCATCGTCACTAGCATCTACAGGAAGAAATACATGATCTTCATCTCTAGAATCTTCAAGCTTTACCCCTTCTAGTTTTTTTTTTATAACCTGATCGACAAGCCAAAATTGTACTGTGTTCATAACCAAAGGGAAAACTAGCATTACAAAGACGACTTGAAGTTTCGCATCATATAAAGTCCATCCCAAAAACCATTCTCCAAAATCGAAGAGAAAAGGAAAATGACTAAAGATAATAACTATAACAATTTTCATAAATAGTATGCAAACAATAAATGCTACAGTTTGTCTTGCCCACCATTCGAATCTCGGTGGCTCGCCATATTCGCCACTTTTTACACCTAACAAACATAACATGATTAAAATAATCAACCAATAGTCACTAATTTCCATTATGACATTGTTAAACTCACCTTCAATTCCGGCAGTACTTGCTACAAATTGTACGGCTTTAAGAAATACATATAATATAAACACACCTACTGTACAATCCACGAATATATTAAGAAAATACCTATAAAAAAGGTTGAATTAACTATAACTAACATCTATATAACTAGCATAACTCAAATATAAACCTACCATACACAAGGATTTTTATAGTCAGCTTCAGAAGATCCCGAAATATAAGAAACAATAATATTCAACCCATGCACCATGCCAGCACCCAACATTTGTTTGCTAACATCGTAAAACCTTTAAGATAGTAAAAAAAATAACATCTGTTTAGTATATCATCAAACATATCATTTATTTCCTTTTAAAAATTCATACATTCATAAAAACAAATCATACCATATGCGTAAGGGTCGTTGTGGTCGTTCTCTATGTCTTTTGTAAATAAGAGTCGAGAACGCGAATGCACCCAAAAGGATCTGAATAAAAATTGCGAATTTATCAACCAGAACGCATTCTTGTTGAAGAGATTTTCCCATAGCGTAGGAATTGCACTTTTATACTTTATTGAAAAAAAACAGTGCAAGCTTTTATTTGTGTATTTACTAAAAAATATCGATAATAGAATCCGATAAAACGTTTTATATACAAATTACCGCGTTGTCGTTTGGTAATCTAATAATTGCGACATAAGAAACTTACTAATTTAGGAATTGCTGTATGTATTCTTTGTCAATTGTTCATACGTAATAATTTAAAGTTGTAAAATTACCGGTAATTTTCCGAAGCATAGCGTTTATCTGATTTGCTGATGCAAATAAATTGCAGCTATACCAGTTGTACCACAAAATCCAACTTGTGTTAATGATTTTGTGATCATCGTCATGAACAGAGATAGGCAAGGTAATTACCCGTACAGCGCGGACCACGGTACCCCGGGTTAGAGGTGCAGGCGAATTGTCCCAATGATGCCGTAACTTATTTGAGTGATCGACATGCATATGATGGGCTTATTTTTCATAGTAAATTGCAATGGTAGGCCCTTTTCGAATGCTGTTTTCAGGGGTTTCTTAAAAGGAAACCATGTTCATGAGACATAAACTATAGTCTAATAATACAAGTACTTTCTTATTTTTATATTTAAAACAAGATATGTAATAAATTTGAAAAGAATGCGGCCCTTGAAGTTGGGTTTTTGTTTCATTTTTATATATAGTATTTGTTTGTTATTTGGTTTTTATAAACTTATCAAGCCTGTTTAAAAACTACAAACTACTAGAACTTTTAGAAAAGGTTACAAGCTACGATCACAAGGTATGAGTTTTAATTTAAACAAAACTTGTTAGGGTTTAAAAATCTTGCAATTAGAGAAAATTTGATTACTAATATAGTAGTTTAAAGTCTAATGGATTAAACTAAAACTATTACTAAAAAAAACAATTTATTAAAATTTAAACAGATTAAACCAGACATGATGTTAGCTTGGTATTTTAAAAAAAGAATCTATCATTAAAAATTGCTGGGTTGGATTGAATTATAACTAAGATATAGTTGTAGTTCAAAATACAATTGGAAATTAAAAAATTTTGTAAATTTATTTAATTTTTTTATTAAAAATTACGCAATTTTAAATAATATCTTAAATACATTGATTAATATGTAGGCTTAGTGCTGAGAAAAAGGGCAAAAGGGAAAAGTGACAAAAGAAAAAAAGGACAAATGAACGAAATTGACAAAAAAAATCTTTTACAAAAAATTAATTATCTCATGAACTATCGTTCAGAATTATATAATTTTGGTATTATTCAATTCAACTCAGTAAGTCAAATCAAATAGTACCAAAATTATATGATTCTGAATGATAGTTTATGAGATAATTGATTTTTTTGTAAAAGATTTTTTTTTGGCAATTTTGTCTTTTCGTTTCTTCATTTCTTTTCTTTTTTGTCCCTTTCTCTTTTCCCAGTACCAAGTTCAAATAATTTTAAACAATATATAATCAACATAAATATAATAGTTTTAACATTGCTCAATAAACCTATAGAAAAAAAATATAAAAATTTCAATTAATATAGCTAAATTATAAAACTTATTTTTTTTTTTAATTAGCCTCTTTGGCATAGGGGTTTTTATTCAAATATAATGGGCGAGAAGCTTACAGCAGAACCTCAATTACATTAGAGAGTACAACTAGCCACATGTGCACCTTTTGAGTGCCTATTTAAGTAGTCCGCATATAGATAACTATACATTATAGGTTCTACACTAGCTGCCTATAATCCAACTAGGGGATTACCTATTTAAACACTCTATAATATATACTGCCCTCTTGTATTACCAGAACATTTCTATTACTTTCGTCAGTTAAGAGTTCTGGATGTGTACTGTAGCCTTAGAACTAATTTATCCTCGAGGCATTGTTGCTAGAGATGAGTACTTGCGAGCTGAAGCTGCTACTATTACCTACTTTTGCTCTTGTAAAGTTTACCCAATCCCAGCAATACTTTATAGACCATCTATCATTTTACTGGTCCCAAACTCCCAATTCAAATAGTCCAGAAGAGCAGACCCCTTTCTCTGATTCTTACCGGCAGCCTGGTTGGTATGGTACCTTGCTAAACACCTCAGTTCCGTCCAGTTTATGGATCTTCAGTAATAATCTTTTACATAGCGCTGTTGAAGATCTGTGCTACCTCTCTATTTGGAACTTGCCAAATGAGATTCTATGTATTTCAACCCTTGGATTTACATAAATGCTTTATTTAGATTTCGTATAACTTTTGCATCACACTATAGTTCTATGTTCTTCCAGTACAAGCTGATACAACCAAAGCTACAGATCCAATGATTCATTAGATTACACACAGTCTGCCATAACACATTCTGTAAAATTCAAATTTTGTTGTTAGTAGGATTCGAATTCTTGTCTTGCCGCTTAGAGGTGCAACAACTTATCAACTTCACTAAGTCACCACACCCTCAGAAATAAGTTTGTTCTGGTTGTTTTTATAAAACTTATATTTCATATTATCAGTATATATTTATATTTAAATTTTTTAATTAATTGATAATCCACCAGTCACCTGGAGAATTTTCTATATTAGAACATGACGCAGATCATATATAAATAAAGCCCAAATTGAAACTTTTGAGCTATAAGTAAAGTTGTAAAAACTTTTAACAAATATAGTATTAAAGTAATACAAATCGTAGAACAATACCGTATGCTTTTAATTATAAAGTTATCAAATACTGATCTTTTTTTTTGGTGAGCTTTACTTTATAAACACATGGCATTTACTAAGTTAAACCCTATACTTATTAGATTTGCGACCGATCTTATAATACCTTATTTTTAGCTTATTTTACAACAAATATATAGTTTTTTTTAACTTCTAAGCTTTTTGAAAGTATATTATGTCTAAAAAATAATAACAAGAGTAGGATTCATAGAATGTTACTACCGTAAAAGTGCATATACAAGACCCAGATCTTGTACATTTCACCAATTTTAAAACCTTTAATAGACCCAGGTCTATTGTATAGATGTTGATCTGATATTCAAAAGAAAGCTTTTATGTGGAGAAGTCAAAAACTTATTGAATTTATGTAATATGTATATATGATCTAATATCATATTTGGTCTCCTAAAATTTTTTATCTATATTATAGTCCCAGGTCTGATTCATAGTGGGTCTTGTATATGCACTTTTATGTTACTTATGTATTGTACATTGATTCAAGAAACATAAAAACAATAAACGTAAAATATTATAAGCAACATGCTTATTATTATGAAACTTCAAGTTTGAACTATTTTTTTTATTAAGTATTACAAAAAATCTAATATCTAGTCAATACAATTTTTTTATTACAAGTATTTTTAGAACTTGCTTTGACGTAATTCCTGGAAGTAATTTTCTAATTTTTTGTAATATTTGGGTGTTACGTTTAACTTAATATATATTATATACGCTCTTGATTTATAGTTTGACTCATACAATCTAAGTATTCTATAGCGATAATTGTAGAATTAATTATTATTATGGTTAGTTGAAATTTTTAAAGATAATTATGCTAAAATTCTTATAATTTTGTTTTTTTCTTTCAGAGTTTGACAATAAGTATGTCTATGAAATTTAAAGCTTTTTGCTCGTGTGTGAGTACTAACAATATGTGAAATAGATCATTCACACTAGAAGTTAGAATGTCAAAGTCCATATATAATTTGATCTTAGTCTTCTGGCAATCAAAAATGAATAATAAAGGTGCTTACATTAATTTAGACATTTGTGAAGCTATTAAGAATCAAAAGAATATGAATTTTTTGTTATTTTATATGAATAAAAGAACCTTATTATAATTTATTAGTTTAATCTACTGGCATATTTAAATATAATCTGTGTAATAGTAGTGATTTATTAACCGATTTTTAAAAAAATCTGGTATTCTTATAAAGGATCTTTACTAATACTTCTATTGAATTTTTATCAGACTTTACCTTAAATTTAAAACCATCAACTACATATGGGCTGGTGCTGAGAAAAGGAACAAAATCAATTTTTATATTATAAATTTATAATAAATCATACAAAAATGCAAACTTTAAAGAGATATTCTGCAAAATTTTATTATTACAACTACTTTTGTAGTTTAAATAAAAAATGGTCCTAGTTTTATTCTTAAATCGATTTATATAAAAAAAGTTCATTTGAAAAAATTGTTAATTTCCTAGCACCTAGCCCATATAATATATAGGGATAATGTAGTATTTTATAAAGATTTCCAAATATTAACCTTTTAAGTTTCTTACTTGTTCATAAAAACATTATACTCAAATAATATTTAATAGCATTTTCAAGTTTATACCCTATTTTGTATCTTTTATAAAGTCAATTTTAGATTCACTATATAAACAGTCATGATG